GACAGTTTAGTCAGTGAATGACGTCAATAAACGTGAGTGATATGTCATTGGGCTGTGACTCATTCACGTCATTTATCACGTCATACGACGTAAACTCCTGACGTCATCTTGGTCATTCAACTGACGTAAAAAGACGTCACGGAAACGTCAGCTGGGTCCCAGGGACTGTTCTGCACCACTTTAGAAAGTCCTAATAACACTATAACTTCTTGAAGACATACCAACTTTAAACAGTCTATTTATTATCAAAAACACGATTCTAGTAGAAAGCACACACCGTTACAAATTAATTGCTCTCGAATTTTATTGCATCTGTAACGAGGAATTTGACAATTCCCTTATCCGAACTCGCGATCTTATCAGGATTCGACTAATGAAGTTTTTTTATGGTACCTACCTACGAGGGAACAAAAGTTGGATTCAACGCTGGCAGTAAAGTTCTGTTAAATGCACCTAGGGAATAAGGGTCATTTCATTCTTGCCTCGAATCATCAATTTTTTCTCGCATCGCACGCAAGCCATAGGCGCCAGAGTGGGGGTATAGTTGTCCCCTCCTCTGATTCTCTACAAAAAATGATTTTATGCACTTCAGTGAATAGGTACATGGGTACATTTACCCCCTCATTTGAGGGACTGAAGTCGCAGTTTCAATCTCACCAGGCATCAAAAATGAATACTGTATTTTTTTCTCAAACGCCATATCAACGCTTTCAAGGCATGCACATCTCTTTTCGATGTCAGCAACAATTTGATAATAATCCATCAGTCAGCAAAGTTGACATTTTGGAACTGGAGAGAGTACTACCTTTTATAATTTTGTTGATTATTAAATTTTTAGTTTCTCCACTCCTGAAGTGCATATAAACCAAGGGGCTATTTCTTTTTAATCTCTCAGCAAATTGTAGCAATCCCAATCTTTGACGAAATCTACAGTGTGGTGCAATTTCGTCCACCCCACCCACTTTACCGTAATCCTAGGGCGAATTTACCTACTACTCAAAATGATCTTGTTTGTGGATCAAATTAATATGATCAATCACATCAGTTTCTCAGCATACTGCGATTACTAAAAATCCAGTAGAATTGGAGAAAATGGACTGGAATTTTTTTACAGAAATCTTGATAATGGCGGACTAGTCACAAATACTCCTCTATCAATTTTCAAAACAGAATCTCCTAAGGGGTGTTCTTTATCAACGTTACAATTTTTCATACAAGACCAAGACCTAGAACAAGACTTGACTTTCGAGACCAAGACCAATACTCTCTCACGAGAGTCTTGGTATTGGTCTCGAAAGAAAAATAATGAACTTAAATCTACTCAATATCAAGAAAAATCTGAAGTAATGGCGTTTCATTTCAGTTATTCATTTGTCATATGGTAGGATTTCAATTTTTGTACACTCAAAATCCTAAATACATTTTTCAAATTCAGTATTGTAGTTTTAAAGTTTACAACAAATATGTGTATATTGTAAGGTCACAGTGGTCAAAACCTCTTCCTATAGATAGAAACAAATTTAATACAAAAGTTATTTGTTGTCAGTTCCGACCCTTTTCATCCGTTTTTTCTGGCCTGTTGGTCGTCGACCTGTTTGCTGTTTAGATCTCATTAAATGTTTATTTGAGGTTTCTCAAAAATTATACTTTTATTACAAGGAGAAATTTATTTCGCTTACTTTAGACGCACAAATGGACACTTTTGAAGACTGAGACATACGAAATACCTATTATATGCATATAAACTGTTAGATATTTGAATTGAATTCTTCAAATTTCTAGACCCATTTTGATCAAAGACCAAGACCAAGACTGATCAGTCTTGGTCTTTGTCTTGGTCTCGCGAAGCCCTAGTAGTTTGGCAATTATATCCATAGGAAGTGACCTCATGGATTGTATTCCATCAGATGAGTTGAATAAAGATTTTGAGGAAGAAGAGAGTGCTTCCAATAAGTTATTTTTTTCTTTTTTCTGTTATGTAACATTTTTATTGTTTTGTCAAATTTGTTATTGTTCTGCTTTCTTATATTATTCGTTGATCCTTGTCAAGATCTTCTGAATGTTATGGAGATGAGTAGTACGGTATCATGCTGATACAAAACAGTACACTTCTTTTCATTTGAGCTTTCGTAAATACTTATTTCCTTTATTCGCTAACATTAAATTATAATGATGGTTCAAAATCATTGATTATACATTGTACGGTATATAAATTAACATGTAATACATATTTCATTTCGAAATTTTTCAATTTTGTGTGTAACCCCTTATCTCTGATATATCAGTACCAAAACTAAATATATAGCAATTAGCACGTATTTCAATTCTATTTATGTATACTCACCCATGTATACCCTTTTAGGGGTAAGGGGTGTAAAATGATATTTTGCACAGAGGCGGCCGCATGGCTTGACGCGCCCCTGGTCAAGATTAGATCATCTGGCTACAGAGTGAGATAAATAACGGATAAAATAACTTGATTTTACAATTTTTCATCAAGTAATAAAAAGAAGAACAACTAAACAGCAAATCAAAAAACAACATCAAAAGTTTAGACAAAGCACTAAAACAATAACAATTCCTAACTATTGGCGGATTTATGCAACATTCGCATAGTCCTAGTCTTAGTTCTTAGTCTTAGTATTATTTTTTGTCTTGAGGTTTCATCCAGAAACATTAAAACTTGATTTAGGCATAAGAGTCCTGAGGGAATTTGTGGTTCTATTTGTATCATGATGAGGAAAGTTATCTATCAAACTTATCAACATCTGAGCTTCCTCATAACATTATTCAGAGAACATGTAAAGAACATATCATCAACAATTCTATCAAAGGAGCATGCGCCGAATCCACATAACATAAGCATGAGCATAAAATTTCAAATTAATCCACTTTCAAGGTCGTTTCTTAGGCTTGTGCTTATGCTTAAGACTGAAATTGGTGTATAAACTGCCTCATGCAAGTACCTTTCAACTTCTAGTTATGTTTGAAATTATGACTAAGACTATGATTAGGAATATGCAAATGTTGCATAAATCCACCATATATAGTTCAGATTTTTTATTCTCGATCAAATCTCATCAAGTCTCTATACACTGTTGATATCTCTTTCGCACGTTATTTTCAACTCTTCTCAGTTTATCTGGCGGTGTCTTTCTGATGCAAACTGTTATTATTCTTCATTGCAACTCTTATCTTTGTCTGGTATTATTCAAATTCTTATTAGAAGTATTATGCACGGTGACTTGAAAAATGCAATTATTAAAAAATTGTAACGTTGATAAAAAACACCCCTTATGAAATATTGTTTCGAAAATGGATATAGGAGTATTTGTGAATAGACCAAACCGATTGCCTTATTCGTTTTCTTAATTCTGCTGGATTTTTTGTGATTGCAGTAGGCTATGAAATTGTGGCTGATAATTTTTTTGCTCGACAAAGTAGATCATGTTGAGGAGTATATTAGGAGAAAAAGAGATTCCTAAATCGAATACGAGTGTACAGTGGCGGCGCTGGACCAAATTGTGACACACTGGTATACAGGGTGGAGACTTAAACTGGAATAAATTCGCTACTGGGAAAGTGAATTTTTCTGAAAATTCGCGAGATACGTCAACGTTTAAATGTATTTACCTATATAGCTGGAATCAACCCCAACATGTTTTTTTCAAATGTAACCCTATGGCTTGCGTAATGAACATATCTTTGTTAGCAGTACCATAGATTAACGACTCCCCTAATCTATGGCAGTACGTTTGGGGGTCGCATAAAATCAAAATATAAACACTTCGTTTCGAATTGTGAATACGGCAAGAAAACTAAATTTATTTTTGCGGCTGTATTAATATACTGGAATACAATAGCTGATAGCAGTTGTGGCAAAAAATTGCCATCAATTGTTCAACACACATTTCGAGAGACTGCTACGTTGAAAACAAAATTGAATCTTAAAATTACATTTCAATTTTATGCAACCTTTAAGCAGCTTTCCAATGAGGGGTCACAAGCCATATGGTTCGTTTGAAAAAATCATGTTGAGGGTGATTTCAGCTACCCCTGGAGGGACATATTCTTGATATTGGTTGCAGAAAGGTAGGTAATTACATAAAATCGTTGATGTAGATAATCGTAGATATAGAGGGGGTTCAAAAAGTATAAATTTTCAAAATCGCAATGTATCTCATAAACGCAAATCTGCAGAATCTGATTAGCCCATCTTGAGTTTCCCAAAAAAAAAAGACACAGGACCGCGGAAATTGCAAGGTTGTATCTCCGAAGAAAACTTAGATATCACGCAAAAGCATCAAAAACGGAACACATGGTACAGTCAGTCTCTTGTGTTATGAAGCAATATATTTCCCAACCGGTTTTTGAAAATAAGAAATCAATTTGTGGGTTTGAAAATTGACAATCCTTCAACAAAAACATTTTTCTTTCAAATGAAAGAGGATTTTTCTGATTTTGTTCAATTGTTATTTTTTCTGAATATAGTTTAGTAGTGTTTTTCAAATCATTAAATATGTTTTACGCTTTTTCAAGACAGTAACACACAATTGTGGAATTACTAATTGTGGAACATTTTGTAAAAGTATGATGTATTTACCAGGACGTTAACAGACTCAAAGTGAAATAGAGCTCTAGGTAGCTGTTGCTTTCCTTTATTGGATATAATGAAATTGATGAAACTTGACTAGTCTGTGATGTGAACAGGCTCTTGTGAAAACCAAAACAAATTTGGAGGTTGAAAAGTACTCCGAACTATAGTGCAAAAAGCATTTTCCTTTATTAAAAACTTTTTTTAATGTTGAAATTGTTTGTTTGATCCGTATAATTCTTTTTTTTTGTACATAAATTTGTAGTGTTTTTCAAATCAATTTGTTTTTGAATTTTTTCACCGCTTGAAATTGGTTGTGGTGGCTTTTTCAAGACACGACTGTGATATTGCTTTCTTGAGACGTTTGAAAATATAGAGGAATAGAAGTATGTACATTGAGACTTACCTTATCACATAATTTACACATATAATGTTTTGTTCTTCGGCATTTTTGGAATTACAAACTACGGTGGCGCAAGTCTGCATCCAAGTGTATCCTCCAGTTTTGTTCATGAGCCTGTAGTAGTGTGTGAGGACTTGTCCCTTATTGATAACTGTGGAAAAAAATAGCGTCAGGAACATTCATATAGCAGAACTAACGAAGAAGTGCAAGGGTATATATTATTATAGTGCGACATAAAAACAAACAAACTTATACAGTGTGTCTCAAAAATCAACGGCATCCTTTGGAGAGCTGAAACTCCAGCTTATGACTGACCACAATATCACAATATGACCTCAGTCAGATATTGATAGTTTTGGAGATATTGGCACTTTTATGAAGTTGGTGAAAATCGAAACCTTTGATCAGTATTTCGAGTGCCGCAGGTGAAAAAAACAAACATAGTATGAGATTCTAATATTTCTTATATCGATTACAATCCATAATAAAAATATTGGTCCAATACCCTTTGAAGATTCTTGAGTAAATTTATTTTAATTAGCCCACTTGAACTCTGCATACCGTGAACAAAATCACGCGAACCTGGCAAGTTATTAAAAAAAAATTTCATTTGGCTCCCCACCTCACCTGCAATGATAGAAGGTTTAGATTTACATGAAATTCATAAAAGTGCCAATATCTCTAGAACCATCAATATTTCACTGGGGTTATATATGCGCTGGACCATCAACCCTGACGTTGAGTTTTGGGACACCCTGCACAGTGAAAAATTTTCGGATGTAATTTCAATCGAGTGGATTTCAGAAATAATTCCGATTGAATCAACACTTGGGCAATATTATATCAATATTATCAGAAATATGATAATACCGTTTACAGTGGTGTCAATTCACACCTTTATAGTGAAAAATCACACGGATGTGGTGATTTGGAAGGGGTCTGAAATATCCATTCAAAACAAACACCAAAAGGATGAAAAGTCATTACTTTCGATAGTAGCATTATTCAAGTTAACGCGAAAAATACACTTATTATATGAAATTAACACCTATAGTTGGACAGTGTAAGAATTATGGGAAATGGGGCTAATATAATTTACTCATCGTCTTGCATTCTCCCATGTGAATGAATAATGTTGATGAAGTTGAAATACCCCCTGAAAAACCTAAGGTCATCGAAGAATGGATAAAAATTGTGTATAGGTATATAATATCATAGGTTCCTCCTATTATGTTTTATTCAAATACTTGATTATAATTGGTGACTTGACAACCTTGCTCGGTGAGTGGGAATGTAAGATTACCTGACCAATAACGAATCATCATAAAAGCTGACGTCACCATTTATTCGACGTATCGCCAAATAGTGGCCATGACGGTGCGTTTGAAATGAGCTCCAAAATTCAACAATTTCGAACCACGCATACACTCATTATTTACATAAAAAAAGTGTGGGAAGTGTTGCAAAAATTAATTTAGGTCCCTAACGACGAAGAGTAGTAATTGAATGCCTATAATTCATTATAAGTTCTGGAATACTGTTTCCATATCTGGAGTGCAGCACCCAAACATACCCTAAAATTGTTTGATTCGGCTAAAAAAGGGCAATCCGTCTCGTGGGTGATGCATCGCTCACAAACTCACTCACTTCTCTGAAACACCGTAGAAAAGTTGGCGATCTTGCTCAATTTTATAGATATTTTCATGGACGATGCTCTTCTGAAATATCAACAATTGTTCCTCCCTTGGCAGTCCCCGCGAGATTAACCCGTCGAGTTGGGGCTTCGCACCCCTCCGTGGTCACTTTGGAGACCTGTAGAACATCTCTTTCCAAAGAGTCGTTCATCCAACGAACAGCGAGGCTCTGGAACACATTGCCAAGGTACGTGCTCTCCGAGGTATATAACCTCCAGAAATTTAAGAGGAACACCAATTTCAACCTTATTTCCCTTGGTTCTCACGATGTTCTCTGAACATTACAGGATATTCCTTTTCGTGGGAACCAGAACAAGAAAAAAATGTATAATTGCAACTGTGAATTAGGCGATATTTGAAAAGAAAAAAGATTCTTATGCCTAATTTACAGTTGCAACTGCAAATTAGGCAAATGTTCGTAAAAAAAAAGTTTTTGTAGGATGGCAGTTCAGACGCATCGTACGAAATTACAATAGGAAGTAATAACACCATTTGACTTTCTATACATCTATCTGATAGTCATACCCCCTCCCCTGCACTTCTTCAGCGTCTACCGTCTAACCCTCTAGTTCACTCACGGTCTATGTGACACTTCCTCAGCTTATTGGCGTCCTCCCCATGGCACAGCGAATACAGGTTCCTGCCGGTCAGCTCCTCGGCCGAATAGTCCAGCAGGTCCGTCACTTTGGGCTCGCAGTGAGCGATCTTGAAGTCGAAGTTGATCCTGGTGACGAACATGTCCGACTCCAGCCGGATCTCGTGCACGCTGGGGGGCGGCAAGGCGATAGCCAGCGCCACCATTCCCAGCAGTGGGGGTTGCGATTTGCGGGAGTGGGAGAAGGTGTATTGCGGCCGCAGCCTGCTCAGAATCAGAACGACCTGGAATGTACAGCAATGACAATATCTGAACTGCAGGTAGTAAACACCGAAATTTTAAGATTTAGTCCGACATGCATTATGGGTGTTGCGGTCGCAGCCTGCTCAGTATCAGAACGACCTGGAATGTACAGTATTGCCAATCTCTGAATTGCAGGTAGTAAACATCGGGATTTGAAGATATAAAGCCCGACATGCATTATGAAAATGCTGCAGATAGAGGGTGGTCGGGAAAAAAGGGTATTTCCAATTTCTCCATACCTTTGGTTTAACATTCACTTTGTAGTAATGTTTGTTTTTGGCGTTGTTAAAGATTGTCATTATTGATTACTGCCTTTTTTCCACTGTCATTTAGCTAACTTTATAATTCAAAATAACAAAAATGTTAAACGTGAAATATAAACCTCTTAGAGCTATAGACAATTTGAAAAATGGCACATTAGAATTGTACGAGCTTTCACATATTTGACTTTTTTTCAATCATCATTTGATGGACAAAGAAGATATGATGTAATTCACCAAAGTAGCAGAGTGCCACTAGATCCCGTATGAGCAATCAAAAAAAAAGTTACAAATTCGTATTCCTCATGTTGAATAACCTGGAACTACAAAATTGCAATTGCAAATAAAATTTCTCCCTTGAACACCCAATATCTCCTAGACCAGCAACATTCTTTGATTAGTCATGTTAGGCCAAATTTGAGCTTCACTAGACCAAGACTGATCAGTCTTGGTCTTGGTATTGGTCTTGATGTTTCAAGACCAAGATGAGGCTGGCTCAGTCTTGGTGTTGGTCTTGATAGTCTTGGCCTTGGCTCTTCAATTTGAATATCCAACAGTTCATATGTATATAATTGGTATTTCGTATTTCTCAGTCTTAAAAATTGTCAATTTGTGCGTATAAAGTAAGCAAAATGAATTTCTCCTTTTACCATAACAATATAATTTTTAAGAAACCTCGAATACACATCAAATGAGACCCAAACAGCAAACAGGCCGACGCCCGACAGGCCAGAAAAAAGGTTCAAAAGGGTAGGAACTGATGACAACGACGCATTATCAAAATTTTTCAAAAAATTTCAAATTCAAACCAAATGACTTCTTCATTAAATTTGTTTCTATCTTCAATAGGAGGAGGTATGGGCCACTGTGACCTTACAGCATACACCTATTTGTTGTAAACTTTGAAGCTGCAATACTGAATTTGAAAAATGTATTTCGGATTTTGAGTGAACAAAAATGAAACACCTACCATATGACAAATAAATAAGTGGAATAAAAAGCCATTACATTTTCCATCAGATCCTTCTTAATATTGAGTAGATTTGAGTCCATTATTTTTCTTTCAAGACCAAGACCAAGACTCTTGGAAGAGAGCCTTGGTCTTGGTCTCGGGAGTAAAGTCTTGGTCTTGGTCTTGGGAAGATTTATTAATTCTTGGACTCTTGGTCTCTCGGAACCCTAGGCCAAATCTTCATATTTTGATGTAGTTAAGAATTAATTCTTAATGAATAACCCTGTTATGCAAGGGTATCGAGGCACATTGGAGTGGAGGGAAATGAACAAGCAAACATTCTGGCACGGAAAGGAGCATCAATGTCAGTGATCCGACCGAAACCATTCTGCGGCCTTGGAAATTCTTTAGGCATGAGAGCAACACACTGGCGAAGACTTCGCGGATTGTGGCAGGCCAAAGATCTCCTCGGCAGATTCAACCGAGCAAGATCGAAGACGCTAATCATCCCCAGCAAAATTAGTCTTGAAGCAATAACAGGATTCTCGACGGGGCATTGTAGAGTCAAAGGTTACCTAAGAAAGCTAGCTTCAGACGAGGACAGCACATGCATATCCTACGGGGATCATCCAGAAACACCCCGCATCATCTCATGCTGATGTACATCACAAAATATCAAATATACTGGGATCAAACCAGCTAACTGTGGAAGAAATACAACGAGAAAATCCCCTGGGAGTCCTCAAATAACTTGGAGATTTCAAGCTTGTGGGGCTGCTATAAACAAGAACAATCTTGAGATAGCGGAAGAATATGATAGTAGCTTCATTGTCCAACAGTTTCCCATTTAGGACAATATTACAGAATATGATGCGAAATAAAGTAAGTTTGATAAATAAAGAATATACTAAATAAGAATATGATGAATGAGTGAGTAAATAAGCTAAGACTAATTACATAATTAGTCTATGGCATCGAGTTCACAATTTTAATGAGGTAATTAATGGCACAACTGAAAATGTCACATATGTTCGCAATGTATTTAGTTATAGTTATTGGGGCGAGTTAAGCATTATATTTGTATAAGCTCTTGTGTTTCTGAAGGTAACAGAATTTGGTGTGGTATAAGATGGAACGTTGAAGCTCAGCTGTATATCACCACAGTCAATTGAATTGCGTAGAACTTTGTGAAGAAATATGAGGGAGGCACAAACCCTCCATGTTTTTGAAGACCTAAAATCAAGACGTTCACAAGATGGGGCACCGAAGATCTAATCAGATCGCAGCTCATCTGTCGCAATCCACACCTACCACTACCAACACCAATATACGGAGTGTTCACCAATGTTATGAATTTACAGCTCTACCAAATTCCCTACAAGTATTTAACAGATATCTTGAGGTTATTCACAAAATGACTCAGGAATATTTCTGGAGAATTTTCTCAATAATGGGTCAACATAACTAAGAAATTCGTGGTGCGATTCTTGAGGAACCTACATTCATGAAAAAAGTTCATATGAATAATTATTGTCGGAAAACGCTTCCTTTGAATAAGGCACTGTGAAGACGGTTTTTCTCAATATTTCCGAAACCGCTCAGCTGAAAACAATGATAGTTGGTTCATCGCATGAACTTTTGATTCTGAATTAGAGTTTGAGCTCATAATTTCGAAATTCCAATCAGGGGTGTACCATACTGAAGGAGTTGAGAGAAAGAACAAAATCAATTTTTAATGGCATTTTTTCTACATATTCTGATTCCTGGAGTTTTTCAACGTAAAAATGGTATTCCTAGTTCATATCAATATCAATAGTGACACTGAAATACTGAAATTTGGTACACTGCATGAGCTTTTAACGCCTAAGTGAATTTTGGTTTTGCAATTTCAGCTGTTTCAAAAATATTGAGAAAAACCAGTCTTTAGGGTGCCGATGCATCGATGTAAACAATTGTGATTTTCTTCATTTACCCTATTGATATCAACTAGGAATAACTTTTTCACGGGACAAACTCTACAGGTGTTAATATGGAGACAATATATACCATGAAAATATGCATGGGATCGTTCTTAACCTTAAGCGCTCCAGTATGGTACGAACCTGATTGGAATTTGGAAAATCTGAGCTCAAATTCTAATTCTCAGTATATTTTGATACGGAGTTAGTGTATTCCAAGATGAACTGGGTATATTCTTGTGGGATGATTATATTTTCACGAAGCCGCACAACTTTATTTTTTACAAAATATTTCGAATTGCTACTTTGCAGTGGATTTCGTAACATCGGTTTCATCTCTTCTCCACTCTCAGAATGATCTTGCAATTATTATTTTAACGAGACAATTTTTTTAATACCTACAGATAATGTCATCTTACCCTATACCCTGATGATTTGAAATGGCAGCCTCTTTTCGTTAAAGTCGATTTCATCCTAACACAAAACGCCCTGTCTAGGCCTTTGTAAGGTGGATTGTTCCCCAACGTCATCTGCGTCGATACTGTAAAAGAAATGAGAAAAAAAATGATAATGTCACGGGTGACGGACTTCCAGACATATAAATAATGAATAATCGAGATAATAGCCTGTGAGCGGTTGGCCAATAGGAGGTCATCGTTTTTTTTTAGGTTACATCGAATTGTTCCTGTGGTGTGATTGAAAATTGAAATAATATCTATAATAATACGGCGGTTTCGTCTTTTCTGTCAGCGACCGAAATGATTATATAAGTACCTACTCAGTTAGGTAACAAAGTAGGTAGGTATACAGTTCGACCATACGGGATATCAATTTATTATTAAAATATCTTCTTTCTTCAACTATTCTACTGTAATAATATCAAAATCATTGGAGAGGAAATAACAGTCAAAAAGAGAATCCGCTTGCACTTTTCTGACCGGGGACATTAACATTGTCTCCTAATCAGTAGTTGATATACACAGTGTGACCCACTTGAGGCTAGAGCATCCTTATGAAACCTACAGTTTTCAATTTTTTTTTTGTTTCAGCAGAAAGATTATCGAAAAGTCTATACATACGTTGACAAAATAAAATTCCAATCTTTAGGGCAAAAATAGCGATTTTTTCCAAGAAAATTACATCAAGTCTATCTATAATAATAATAATAATAATAATATTTATTTTCCAATAGGACATAGTTACATATGTATAGGAATGGTCAAAGACAGTAAGAAAAAGAAACATGCAAAACATGGAACAAAAAAAATACGAACAGAACGACGAAGATTCTACATAAATATTCATTATTTTACACGTTAAAATATTCATCCAAAGAATAAATGCAATTCTTAGTAAGAAAACATTTCAATGCTGTGCTAAACTTTCTAATATCACTATAATTTTTAATTTCATTCGGCAATCTGTTATAGATCATCACACCCATATAAGAAGATGAGTTTTGCGAGACTTTATATTTATAAAATGGGATATGGAAATTATTTTTTTGTCGTGTATTGACATTATGCAGATTCCTATTGAGATTAAATTTTGTTTTGTTCATGAAAATGAAAGTACATATTTCATAAATATACAAAGAAAAAAGTGTCAATACATGGTATTTCACAAACAATCCTCTACAAGAGTGGGTAGAAGGAACGCCTGCCACTATTCTCAATATTCTTTTTTGCAGAGTAAATACGTCATTAACAGAAGTTGAGTTGCCCCATAAACAAATACCATATCTAATTCGGGACGCTACCTGCGAGTGATACAAGGATAATAATTGAGGATCCTCCAAGACTTGTCTGAGATTCCTGAACAAATAACATAAAGAATTTAATTTTTTGGTTAGACTTATACAGTGATTTTTCCAGTTGACATTCTCATCAATCATCAGACCCAGGAAATTGGCTTTAGTGGCATTGTCAATTGACACGTCATTGACACAGACAGTTAATGGGGAGCATTTTCTTTGCCAGTTGTGGAATTTCACAATTTGTGTTTTAGAGGCATTCAGATATAAAAAGTTCAAGCTACACCATTCATATAAAGAGTTCAATACTTGTTCACTATTCTGTTGTGTTTTAGCTTCATTCACATCCGATACTATCAGTGAGGTATCATCAGCATACATCGTTAAATAGGTATCTGTTAAATGCTTATCAAGATCGTTGGTATACAGCAGAAATAGAATTGGCCCCAATATGGTCCCTTGTGGGACTCCAATGTTAACCAGTTCAGTTTCAGAATTTATATGAGTGACTACACCCGAAATGCGTTCTGGTATGTTTACATATTGCATTCGTTTTACTAAGAATGAAGAAATCCATCGAAGTGCTGGACCCCTAACTCCATAGTTATTTAATTTTGATAATAAGAGCTGATGGTTAACACAGTCGAATGCCTTGCTGAGATCACAAAAGATTCCAGCAGGGCATTCTCCTGCTTCAAGATTTTCAATGACTTTTTCAAGGAAAGAAATCGCAGCTGTATTTGTTGAATGATTGATCCTGAATCCATGTTGGTTTTTGCTGAAAATATCAAACCTTTTCAGAAAATTCAACAGGCGATCCAAAAATGAGTATTCAAAAATCTTTGAGAAACTTGGCGTAATGGTTATAGGCCGATAATTATCCATAAGATTGTCAGGGCCCTTTTTATGGATGGGAATGATTTTCCCTGTTTTCAGTGAAACAGGAAAATTTCCTGTTGAGAAGGATAAGTTCACTAGGAACGTCATGGGTTCAATGATGCTATTCAGGCATTTTATCAATAAAAATGATGGGATTTCATCATGTCCCGCCGAATATTTCTTTTTTAGTTTAGTTTTCAGTAGTATTTCCAGTTCTTGTGCAGCAAAAGGGTTGAGAAAGATTGAAAAGCTATTCAGTTCAATTTTTGGATATTCTTTATTATTTATATTCCTTTGATCAATTTTGTTAATGATTTCTTTGGGAGCATTTATGAAGTGATTGTTGAATAAATTCGATATTTCAGAGGCATTTCTATATATTACTCCATCCTCAATAATTTCAATATCATTGTGGGACACAACATTTTTGCCACTCAATTCCGAAATAACTTTCCACGCCGCTTTGTTAACGTTTGTCGAATTAGCTATAATATTTTGACAGTGAGATTTTTTTGAATCCTTCACCAACCTTTCGTGTCTTTTCTTAGCTTCCTTATATGTGTTACGTAATTCAGGGAATTCTGTTTGGAGGTGATATAAATCCTTCAACTTGATACTGGACGATTTTACTATCAAATGAACAAAGCAGTGAGAGTTGAATGCATGAAGTATTTTTCAGTTTATTTATACTCTTTCTAGTGTAAGGGCGTTGTTTCGTCACATGAAGTTTCTTGTGTGATAAAGTCCTAATGAATTAAATACTGATGTCTGTAGGTTAAATCAAGGAGGTGGTACATCCATTATTCCAAATTTTTCCTCTCTTCGTTTCTATAAAATATAAATTTGAATATAATTCCAATATACGTGTAGTAAGGACAAATCAGATGATTTGCCCTAAAATGTCACTGCGTTTAAAGAATTTTCCTATCAGATAGCCTAAAAGAAAAATTCACTAGCTTGTCAGTGACAATTTGTATTGAAAAAAGTTTGGAGAAGAGAAATAAAGGTATATAGAAAAAATATCAAATTTTCACTTATCTTTGGACGTTTCGGGTCCGAATCTGGTCCCGTTTTCAACATAAAAAATGGTTATTTTAATAGCAAAGTCGTATCTGCCTTGAAACTTTGCAGTACACGTATATTGAAATACTATTTATACTTTTATTATATAGAAACGAGGAGAGAAAATACCAAAAAATTTGAATCCTAATGAGTTGCTGAGAATTGAAATGGAAAACTGAGGTGAAATAAAAATCAAATTTTTGCATTCATTTTCCAGCAAACTTGAATCGTGAGTGGTTTTGTTCGATCCATAGGTTATAGAAGTAGTAGTAACTTTTATTATAGGATATATCATAATCTTACAATGAATATAGTATAGATAATAATAATTCAGAGATTCACACAGTGCGGTAAATATTAATAAAATTCAAATCTGATTGTGAATAACACTTTGAAAATAACCATTATCAAAATGGAGACGACAAAGAGGTATAAACGGAGATAGATAATATAAGAGATATAAAACAATATATAAATATATATATTGATGAAATGAAATACACACATATACTCATACATATTTTTCAACCAACTAACGCTCTAGATTTTCCAACAATTCACTTTTGAACTCTCTCACAGTATTTGCCTCTGTAATGACATTTGGTAACTTATTAAATTCCCGTAGTCCCTTGAAGAATACATTTTTCATCCCACCACCAGTATGAGTTCTACATAATATACCGGGTGGTTACGGAAGTATTGCCTACGGAATATCTCAGTTATTGTATGAAGTAGGTTTGTGAAATTTGGAGCGTCGATATAATGACATAAGAGCTAGAATTTGAGCATATTGACATGTCGAAGTTTACTTCCGGTCTGACCGGAAGTAACATCAACTTTCTTATTTTAAATGGAAACCCTATTTTTTTTTCTTTTCGCTTTATTCAGCATTCAATTCCCTTTTTTAATGACATATCACAAGTTGGTATCTAACCAGAAACTAGATCAGAAAAGAATTATTATTGAAATTCACCGAGTAGGCCGTGGAAGCAAAATGAGAGCCAAAAAATGACTTTCTATTATATCATTAGAAGGGAATGGTTATGCTGAATAGTACATCAGGCAAGAAAAAGTTGTATGTCCCTATTTAAGTTATATGGACCTACAGAGTATTGTTTTTTTCCCAATTTTTCCAATATTTTTTTTGGCGGCTTTTTATAACGCCGACGAATGAAAATAAAATATCACGGTAGTAGCAACTGTTATCGAGTGACGTATGGTTTCCATAGCCAACTTTTGGCTTTCATTTTGCTTCTACGGCCTACTCGGTGAATTTCAATTATAATTTTTTTCTGATCTAGTTTCTGGTTAGATACCAACTTGTGATATGTCATTAGAAAGGGAATTGAATGCTGAATAGAGCGAAAATAAAATAAAATAGGGTATCCATTTAAAATAAGAAAGTTGTTGTTACTTCCTGTCAGACCGGAAGTTAACTGCGACATGTCAATATGCTCAAATTCTAGCTCTTAAGTCATTATATCGACGCTTCAAATTTCACAAACCTACTTTATACAATAACTGAGATATTCCGTAGGCAATACTTCCGTAGCCACCCGGTATATGAAAATATGCATTTGATCTTGTTCCGTGTTCATGTATTTGATTATTGTAAACATAAAATTCATTGAAATATGTTGGTTGAAGGAGTTTGGTTATTTCGAAAAATATGAACACCATTGTTGATAAAAAAATCGATTTTAAATCGACAGCCATTGTTACATAATTATTATTATCAATGGAAGTATAACGACTGCATCCCAAAATGATTCTCATGTCCCGATTTGTAGGTTATTGGAGTTGAGAAATCCTATTTTGGTTTATTAAATGCATTAAAGTTCGACAAT